TTGAATTTCTTGTGCCATGTCAAGCCTGCCTTTTACTTGTTTGATTCTGTGCACCAGAATAGCTACTTGTGTCTCCAGTTGGCCCGAGAAGTCATTGGAGTTATCTTCATCCATCTTGAAGTGCAAACGTTCGTCCAATATATTGACATCCTCTTCGGTCTCTATCAGTTCCTCCGCGACTTGTTGTCTATCTAGCCGAATGTGCATATACTTTTCTGCAGAATAGACGATTCCTTCGGCAGCCTCGTTGAGGTTGACTTGGCTTGACATCATATGGGAAAATTTGATATTGTTATATTGATCCGTGATATCAAAGGTCTGAGACCGAATCTTCTTTATGGCATCATCAATTGCCAAACGGTAAGTTTGGATAATTTTTGAGCTTAGGCTGCCTGGTTTTTGGCGGGCGAGCATCCCATCCAAAACAGGTAAGAGAGGTTGTAATAAAGATTCCACATGAACAAGCTTGAAGTAAGCCGCGTTAATATCTTGAATGGATGAGCCATCGAGTAGTTGTAATTCCTGGTGCTGTTGTCTGATGAGCACCATCTGCTTCCACAAGAATGTAACGTCATCGGTAGGACTCTCGATATCCGTTGAATTTGACGCATTCTTCGGAGTTGAGTAGATAGAAACCGCAGTTTGTTGGCTGGTATCGTGTTGTTGGTTCTCGATTTTCTTTGACGGTTGGGGACTTCTCTTCTCAGGCCACGGTTGAGACAGCCTCCCTAAAATTCTGTCAAGCATACAGCCTTTGAAAGACATGAGAGGGAGCTTTGTTCACACGATATCAGGAACTTACCATCATATAGGAGTTTGTCGAGAAGAATGGCTATCAGACAGTAGATTGCCAGCAAGATGACCGTAAAACAGCCAGTAAATATCCACGTCTCCTCATATGTTTTGATGGTACCTGGAGTTTGAACCCCTCTCTCCCCATTTGGTAATGTAATTTTTGGGTTCACGGAGATTGCAGCCAAGCCCATGACGGCTAGGAAGATAAACCAGTCTACAATATTTCTCCCTTTGGGGTGGCTTGAAGGTAGCAAGAAGGGAGAGGCGAAGAATACAGCTATCTCCCAGATTGCAAGGCCAATCACGACCCGACCAGCCGGACCAGCCAAGTTTGACAAAGAATAGCCACGAGCTATCTTTTGACGGAAATTTTC